TATGTTAGTGGTCGTCATGCTAACACACTCACTGTGACAGTGATAACATTCTGATGTTTGCCAAGTAATGTTTACCATACTAACATGCAAATTAGCAAATATTTAACTTTAAGGCCAGTGGAATCATTAATTGTTTGTTGTGTACAATGTAAAACCACTGAAACCATTAAAACATGCTCACTTTATCCCATCGCACATTTCTAAAGAACTGCACTCACAACTGAGCTAGTTTCTTTTGAAATTGACTGACAATAAAATAGCTACAGTAAGACCTGATGGGCCTGATTGATTTGAACATTATCCTGACAATTAAAGCTAGGGTAGGTAATGTATTTCACGGATGGGATTTTTTCAGTTGGATTCTTTTAAAATCTAGCCGTCTTTGCTACTTTCTCCATCACTAAACCAGCTTTAATACTTTCACATTTAAGGGTATATGAGTCCCTTCTTTAACAACATGTACTGAGCACAGCAGAAGATGAAAGTCTCTCTTTTTAAAAAGGACTCTGGGGGTATTTTTCCTTTTTCCTTGCTCTGTCTTTTTCTCAGTGGGGAGTTAACAGTGTCTCCCTTCCACCCTTGGAGCAGGAAATTGAATCTCAATTACGGAGAAGCTCCGCCTTATGTTTCATGTATGAGTGAGCTCATTAGTTAGTTACACCCTTCTCCTCACCCTCTGCAACATGGTGGCTGAGAACTTACATTCCTCACATCAGCTGAGGTAATATTGCAAAGATTCTGCATAATGGCTTGGTTGTTGGGTGAGACATGCTACTGATATGGAAATTCTAACCCCCTTTTAGAAACACATTATACGATTTGCTCTTAAACCTGGCACTTCAACCACAAGGGTCAATGTAGCATTGTGATGGCTCAGGTTGGTTAATTAACTTCTGAAGCCACACTTAAGGAGGAGGACTTCCAGGTCACTGGAACATTGCTGATCTGTCACATTGATGCCTCTCTGGTAGAGTAATAGGCCATTTTATACTGCTGAATGAATATATGCATTGGACCTGGGGTCTCAAACCCCACTAGGGGTCGCCAAAGCTTCATGGGTGTTGGCAATGCCTTGATATTAAAACTATATTTTAAAAATATATTGTCATTTTTTGTTTAGATTATTATTTAATATATAAAGTTTAAAACACAGGATAAGGGCACAGTGATGATGAACACAAGCTATATTCACAGAACCTTGACTCTCGGATAAACAGCCTGGTTAAAGCAACCAAAGAGGTAAAAGAACAAGCATCAGACAGAATCAAACAACTGCATTTGTCAAAAAAGAATCCCATTTAGGATTTATGATTGTTAAAAAAAAATTAAATATATAATATAAATAATACCGACGGATAACTTTATAAAAAGTAACTAAGAAGTACCAGGAAAACTAATCCCTGATGCAATATTCACAGGAAATAGTGTTCTGCACTTAATTGTACAGTTTATCAGCTGTTCTGTACTGTTATGGTTATGTACTGAATGTAAACACTTAATCGGGGGTCGTCAGTTTACTCAATGATAGAAGAGAGGTCCCTGAAGAAAAAAGGTTGTGAACCACTGCCTTAATGTATCATTTTGTATTTATTCTAACTTAATCTTACTTACTTCTTGAAAATAAGACTTATTTATCTTGGGGTTTTAGTTGCTTCATTACGATGGACCACTTTTTCCAGATCTAATAGTTGTAGTTGGTCCTTGTGGATTGCTTTAGCAAGTTATGTCTCTAACCTTTTTAAGTCATGTGTTGTCCTTCCCTCGAACTGGGCTATAACAAAATGGTGGCTCGTCTGAAATCTGAACCTGTCACTGGTGATAACTGTGGTCCAAATTGACTTGAAA